TTTTATTATTTACAGAAGAATAGAAGAATAACCATGCAGGTTATCGTGCGAATTTAGGAGATACGAGTATAGTGTACCTTACATGAAAATTGAGTTATAGTTATAGCCTATACATTATCATATAAACATGTAATATAACTTTTTATGTGTTTAAAACTACGCTGTATTTTCTCACATGTTTTGTCATGTAGAACTAAATAAGCTTTAATTTACTATATTTTGTCCTTGACGAATCACATAAAATGTGGTGTTACGATTCAACGATTATTCTATAAACAGATAAGCCACACTGCGACCAGTCTGTACCTAGCACAAAAGGTATAAGATTATTACGACTACATAAGGTATTAAGTATTAACACTGTATTCATTGCAAAATTCTAATATTACACAGTATATTTGCTTGTAATTGTTTTTTGTTTATATTGTAAGTTAAAAATTAAAAAGAGGTACTTTAGATTGAGTTAATGTTACATTTAATCCCTCAAATATTATGCATGCTTAATTACTCAGTTCATGTTGGGGATACGTACGAGTCAAATTAACTAGCCACTTAATGAAATATCTTGTTAAAATGAACACTTACTTTGACCTTATGTAAAAAAATGCACGGACAAGAAATATAAAGGAAGCTGCGGTTTTTTTGCATCAACCAAAGTAGGTCTTGTTATTGTACCTGCATTAATTTATAAGATGAAAGTTGCGTCCGATATCTGTCGGTTAGATATTAAAAATGGTAATGTGAAAAAGAAATGCATATAATTATTTATGTACCGGCGGCTACACGGCGACGCCGCGGCGTCGGGTCGGGGCGCCGCCTTAGGCCCTGCATTCTTCCACTTTCACCGTAACAACATCCACAGTCCCGGAGGAAAAACCTATGAGTTAGCCGTTACGCAAATGTTTGCTATCTCGCACGTCATTATTAAGTATATACCTACATAAACATTTAAATAAAATAAAGGCCGATCAATTGACCTTAACGAAATTACGTGTTTAAGTTTATGTTTACGTGAGCAAGTTGTAGTGCTCATATACATAAGATATAGTATACTATAATAGGTAAGAGTTTATAGAATATTTTTTATTATGTTTGAGTGAACTAGAGGAAGCGTACAAATGTTTACGTCTCTTTTCACCCCTCTGGGACTGAGTTTCAGGTAAAGTCTGTTCTGCAAAATGCAATTTATTAACAAGAAAAACAAACATATTGGCAAGAGTAATACTAAGTAAGAATTTATATACTCTTTTACCGAATCGTCTTTAAAAAAACTATGGATAACAAATAAAGTAGGGGAGAAGTGGCATGAAAGGGACACGTATTGAAAGGAACGATTTAAATAACTGGCAAAATAAAAATAATTTCGGGTCAACACTATATATGTCGTATGACAGTCCTGATAAGCTTTCGTTCGCGACTAACTTCACACTGCTGTGATTTCAAAGTTGGCGCAGTCGTGTTATTGTTTTTATTGACATTGAAAAGTATTTTTTCTGTTATAATGGCGAAACGTTTTGCCAAGTGCTGTGTGTTAATTATTTATTTGTTATCCACTGTTTATGATCAGTTAGAGATCAACAGATACGAGAATAAGAAGTCGGTACATTTTAATCTAAAATTTCAAATTTTGTGGTTATGTTTTCAATGTCGGTATGATATTTATGAAAGGGACACAACAAACGGTTATTAATGGGACGTTTCACAACTGCTATTTTTACAGATTAAAAATGCCACCTTAAAAGAGAACGCGTGTCGATGTACACAAAATTGAAGATGTAGTGAATGAAGTAATATAGAACGGCATCTCTGTCAGATTGGCTGTCAAGATGAAAATTTTTTATCTTTTTTTGTGACAGACCGACCATAGTAAAAACCCCCACTGGTTCTGCCGAGAACTCACAGTTCTTCTTCGAGGAATATTCGTCATAATCCTCCAATAAAGAAGAACTACCTAAGTTTATTACTTTTTTAACCGACTTCCAAAAAGGAGGAGGTTCTCAATTCGTCGGAATATTTTTTTATGTTCACCGATTACTCGAAGACGCCTGAACCGATTTGGATTTTTTTTTGTTTCAAGGGGTATACTTCCCAGGTGATCCTATATAAATTTTATCGAAATCGGTCGAGAGGTTTTTTAAAAAATCAACAATAAATATATTTTTTAAATAAATTGTTTATTCGAATATGTTATTAAAAAACTTTCGTCTTACAAATTACCTACTTATTACGTCTACACTAAAAATGGAATGATATAAACTAAAAAAAAACCGACTTCCAGGCACTAAAATGTAAAAAATAACTAAACGGAGGCTTTGATTTAGAATAGATACCTAATCAGATATTTTCAAAGTCGGGGCAAGCCTACAATATTTTAAGATATGAATATCTAATAGGTAATAATTGTTTTATGTCTAAGAATTGAAGATTATGATATTGTTGATTTCTGTTTAAATAATATATACGTGTTTAATTCTGGTCTGTAAGATGAAATAAGTAAGTTTACAATTTGCTACACATCTAAAAATATGAAGTACCTACCTATGTGTACAATAACTACTTAGGTTTGTTTCAGAATCAAAAAAGCAATAATATAATATATATAAAATAGTAATAATGACTTAATAATAATAATTCCAGACACTTTTTTGATTCTGAAACATACCTAAGTAGTTATTGTACAAATACTTGATATTTTAAGAACACGTGTAGTAAAGTCTAAAGTGATTTTCCTTGATATTATGTACTGTCCCTTTCATAAACTATTGTGCCCCTTTCAATACAGGCTATTATTGAAAGGGACAAAATACACATTTTTTTTAAATGCGGGATTTAATAACTAAGAATAAAGAAAAGAGAATTAGTGCATTTTATTTCAGTAGTATAATAATAGAGGCTTCCCATTCGACTTCAACCAGTTCCAAATACAATCTCAATCACTTTCTAGAGCCTCAATATCAAAAATGTCCCTTTCATCCACCTCTCCCCTATGTAACTTCAAAGAGACGATACTGCAATCTTAAACAATGTTATGTAATCTAGATTCATATATCAAAACCTGAGATTATATAAAAGTCTTATATAAACTTAGGTAAAAACAAAACTTGATAGAAATGTTTAATGTATTAGATAATAATATGTTTGTAAATAAAAGGTAATATCTGAAATGTTCCAATAAAATTATAAACTTCAAAGTTTCGAATTTAAATTTTAATTATTAGTTTTGTTGCATTTATTAATTTGATAATAAGTTCAGGTTTTATTAAAATCAACAAAATAAATTAGTGGGTAATTCTTATTTTCGTATATTGTCAAAGAAATGATTGTATTTTATCAAATAACGCCAATATAAAAGACTGATTTTAAAACAAACAAATATGCATACTATATATTAGGTACTTTAGGTTATTAAATATAGCTTTCAAATTTAAATATTGATAACGATTTTTAATTTACATTTATTTAAATGGCGTACATACGTAGTGTTAGAAGTCCCTACATAGTAATTAGAAAATTAGATACAAATTCGAAAGTAGAAAAGGCAATAACATTTACAATTCCAGTCGAACCTGCGATTTCAGTGACAGTTCAGTCAATGAACGTCACATATACTGTATCCAATTTTGTATATTGCCAATATCAAAATATCCATTTATATACTTTAATTTAATGAATTAATTTAGCTGTCAGCTTGAATAGTACGAGTTTCAAACTAGTTTTAATCACTTTGTTCATCGATTCGTAAGCATTTCCTTTCACTCGCATCAACATCTTTGATTGTAATATTCTGATTAACATTATAATATCTTAACGTCCCAGTTCCCCGCGGTCTGTTGTCGCTGTCATCTGATATTGACATTGCATTTGAAAGTTATCTTCCGCGAACGCGCTTTTAGGTTTGCTCGAGGTCGCGCACTTGACTGAGATTGCGAATATTTGCTAAGTTAAAATATGTTTCCATATATGTATCTTAACTTGATTCGACATTGGATTCCATTAAGAGATTAGTGACCATGGATTTAAACAATGCTAAATATCGGCGGGTCTATCTGTTCTAAAATAGTAAAATATATTACCAAATACGGATACGACTAAAATCTGAATATAAAACGTCTAACTATTTATAATAAAACTATAAAACGTCTGCCCGTATTTTATCTTTACTTCATAAGTTATTGTTTAGTTAACATCGTAGGGACATATGTATTAGTAGGAGGTCCCGATCTATGTGGTGGACCCCTCACTCTTTTCAGACGATTTTTTTAAGCCATAAAACATTAATAAACACGACCCAGGGGGGTTGTCATCAAAAATTTGGTCCAGGCAATTTTTTACTAAAAAACCTGTAGTCTGGAGACGATTTGGTATGACAACTCTACGTCATCAAATTTGTTATAAAATTATCTACATTTTGATACTTGGTTCGTTACGGAAAACGGTACGATTTATGGTTTAAAAAATATATTTCGCCTGGAAAAATAATAAGGGGTCCACCACATAGATCGGGATATTAGACTACATGTATTTTAATTTTTAATGTTTAAAAATCCATAGTAAAATAATTATTGTATAATATTGTGAATATAGAGTTCGTAAAGTTTCTTATTATTTAAATAAAAATATTAATTTAGTTAGTTTTGTTGAATATATACAATACATTTTTATCAGAATCCTTTAAAAGCTTATTGGCATATAAAATGAACTTTTATATTGTTAGAAATATGAAAGTTTTTTTTATTATTCTTATGAAACACTTTTTCAAATTTTTTTTCTGTTTGTGAAAAAGCTGGACTGATTTTGACGGGACTTTCACTAGCAGATAGCTTATGTTATAAGGAGTAACTTAGGCTACTTTAATTTTAGTAAAACAATTAGGGTTCTGGTCATAAAATTAAAACGTAGCCAGAGACGCACCCGAGCGAAGCGAGTAAATAAGTAGTTTATACCTGGTGGTAACAGATAATATCTTAAATTCAATTTTAAAAGTCAACTTCTATTTTTAGATTTGATCCCAGCGCGGTTCAACGTAGGCATAATGCTGTTTTTCGCGTGCTGGGTGAACTATATGCTGCGGGTGAACATGAGCGTCAACATTATTGCCATGGTTCCTGATGATACCAAGACTACATCGTAAGTATAAACTTCATATGAATACTGATTGCTTGCTTATAAAAATTGTTTATACTGTTTTAAAGCCAAATTAAGAAGAATATCCTTAAGCCCTTGCCTTAAGAAAGTTTAAATTTAGTATTTGTAGAGTTAGGTGACATAAAGAAGGATGGATATACTTCTACGTATATTGTAATATATTTTGATTTTAAGTTTTGATTCTAATGAAAATTAACAAGTCCCCACAAGAAAAAGAAGCATTATACCTATCAATTGGATTATATGACGCCTATACATACATATAGGCGTCTAATAAAATAGAAACCAAGCGAAATCTGTTAGAAGAAATATTTAAAAAAACTATAACTTTTAGGTAATCTGTACGGATAGGTAGGTAGACATAAAAACCTCGTTGATGAAAATTTTGTCTATTTGTCTGTATGTCTATTTGTCTGTTTGCTTTTTATGCAACTGAACAGATTTTAATTACATTTTGTGTAGTGTACTCAGGTCAACATTAAGGATACCTTTTGTTTCTCCACTTACTTCTTTTAAACCATACAACGGATCTTCATATGGTTTTCAGTTTTCACTAATAGAAAAAGTCGCAAACGAGTTTATAATTTATAAGTATTTTATACAAAATGGCTGAGCTATGACGGTGTTTGGTCAAAAAACTGTTCTCGTACGCTTACATGGCTAACGCTGGGTAAACCTTTAGAGTTAGTTAAAAACAATGTTTTGAACAAAGAAAACTGTAGCTCTTAAAAAGGCTTACAGAAAAATCCGTGATGGCAGCATATATCTGTCGCACATGGATTGTTGAATCCGTTTTTTTATAAAACCGCTAGTTGTTTATATGTATAACAGCTCCGTTATGTAAAACAACTAACTGAACGACGTTTAGAGGTTTTTTAATTTTTTATAAAAACGAACTAGTAGTTTTTTGATTTCCAGTTAGGTGACAGATCCGACTTGGATAATGTAGGTTTGTTTTATATAACGGAGCTTTTATGTAAAACAACGGTTTTGTATTTTTAGATTTTTTAGATTCGGCAATCCATCTGCGACATGTCTATCTATAAGTTACTCTAACAATACTTATTTTTATGTCTTTAAAACGTGCCTCGGGACGCAGCCGAGCGAAACGAGGGTAAGTCGCTATCGCTAGCATAGACCATATAATACTATAGTCGCTAGTAATAACAAAAAGGCCGTAAAATTAAGTAGAATTACAAAACATAGCCTCATTTATAGTTCAGAGGAAAAATGAATAAGTAAATCTTACATTCTTATTGAAATTCCTTTAAACAATCATAATACACGGAATCCGTACTCCTATGACGAATTTTTGTAAACATTTACAACTGTTGCTTTTTATTTACTTCTATAAATTAAAAATCCAACATTATAAACAGTTTTAGCTATTTGCTGATGGAAAAAAATTGATCGGTGATCTCTGTCAATGTATCTATACTGCAATATGTAATAGATAACCTACAGATAAGTATCCTTAAATGTATTATACACTGGTAGGTACTTAAAGTATCGCAATATTTTAAAAGATATAGTTAACGAATTATTTGGTATTGATCTGTGTTAAAAAGATTAGTTCATCTTCTAAGGATAAGATGATCTACATATCTTGTCAATATTTCTCTTAAAAAAGATAAATCGTCATCAGATATCAAAATGTTTACCAATATGTATAATGTATATAATTTGCATAGCAAGAGTTGATAGGTACTTACTTGTACAGCATCTATATAAAATATAAGCAACTTCGGACAAGGTCAGCCACCATCTTTATGTTGAAATGTTCATATAAAACCGTCTATTTAAGTATTGTGAAATTTTTTATCATTAGGTATAGATGTCTTAAAATATTAAATAGATATTAAAATATATTTTTTTACTTATACTTATTATACCTAATGACACCTATTCAGATAGATATTATCATACTATAAAGAACTTGTATATGTCGAATGCTGTTTTGGGTTTGGTAGCTGGCTTATATGGTTGAAGGATGTCGAATTCGAGAGAGTTAGTGATATTTTTTCAAATACAGCACACTTCTTGCTTCGGTGAGTACGGATAGCTATAGGTAATTCTTGCACCCTTTCCTGTCGTGTGAAATGGCCGTCTCTCGACTGGCAAATCCATAAAAATCTTGACAGTACCTACTAAAAGTTCGTTCGTTAAACAAACGCTTCGCACGATGATATTTCCTGCGCAGAAGGCTGGATCTCAGAGAGATTGCTTATTGCTCCGTGACCGAAATGAGGATTTTATGTTTTTATTTTTGAATAAAAATTTGTTCGTTTCAAATCAATTTGCATTGAACCTTTAGAATGAATTATTATGAGCATATTTTCTGTTTTTGTGAAAAATAAAAACTTGATGAATGTTTAATTTCGTCGTAATGAAGACGCGATATATTGTGGTATATATTGTATATAATTTTATATGGTATAGGTATAATACATATATACATCTACTCTGCTTTTAACACCTTAGATGGCTTAACGGTATTTGAAATTTACATAAGGAATTGTAACTCATATCAAATAATGAAACGTAAAGTAAATAATAGCTTATCACACTTTTTTTGGTTGTCTTTCTTCTTCACAATAATCTGACACAAGGTGTATGCATATATAATAATACATATTGTAACAAAGTTCGTATGTATATGCCGTATGGATGCTTCTTACCCCTTTCCGTGAACCGCTTGATAGATTTGGATAAAACTTCGTACACAGATAGACCAAGTCGCTAGTAGATTAATACAATTTGAGATGATGCATTTATTATTCTACTAGCGGCTCACCCTCGCTTCGCTCGGGTTCACCTCTAGAAAAGCACAAACAGATATATCCCACGGGAACCGTTCATTTTTCCGGGAGAAAAATAAGTAACCTGTTGTTTGACCTGCAATATAAGGTATCAGCGTGCCAAATTTTACTAAATTAGGTACATAAGTTGTTGTGTACTGAGCTGTATAAGTTTCTATAGTTTTTTGACTATCCCACGGAAACTCTTTAATTTTCCGGGATGAAAAGTAGCTGATTTATTTTTGTCATGTATGAACTATATTATTGTAAAGTTTCATTAAAATCCAATCAGTAGTTTTTGTGTACTAAGATGTATAAGTTTTTATAGTTTTTTAACTATCCCACGGGAACCCTTGAATTTTCCAGGATGAAAAGTATCTAAGATGTTGCCCGGGGATATAAGGTACCACCGTGCAAAATTTCATTGAAATACGTCCAATAGATCCGGAGATTAGCCCGTACAAAGAGAAAAACAGATAAACAGCTCGCTCGGGTTCGTCCATACATACGAATATGTTGTATTATCTCTTTAACCATTTGTCCAAATTATATGCAGTAAAAGGGAAAAGTCTTTTATTTTAAACATTTTAGACGATAAATTTACTTATTTTGATAAGAATTCATAATTGTTGATAATATGACCAATAAACATGACCTACCGATTTAAATGATTTTTTTAATATAAAAATCTACTTTCTGTGACTTAAATATAAAAGCTAGACATATGCTGTCGCTGACTTTTTTGTAGGCATTATTAAGCTCTACAACTTTTCTCTAGAACATAATCATATATGTCTCATCGTTAAGGCAGCGTTCGTAAGAAACGTTTTCGTTCGACCGTTTTTTCTCCGACTTACTTTGCAAATCCGACTACCACGAAAAAGCCTTTTCATTTTTCGGGTTAATATATAGCCTTTGACACTCAGAAAGAACGTGGCTTTCTATTGGTAAAAGAATTTTGAAAATCGGTTCAGTAGATCCAGAGATTACCCCCTACAACGTCACAAACTCACAAACTCACAAACTCACAAGATCACAAACTTTACCTCTTTATAATATTAGTATAGATTTCTAATTTGCATTTAAAATACTAAGTATTATATTTTACCGTCGATTCATTGCCTTGGAGTGGTATTTCTATACCAGTCAGGCACCGATGTCTCAACTTTTTAACCCAAAAAGAGGGAAAAAGCGAAAGACCTCGTTTTTTTTATTTTTTATAATATATATCCTTATCGACCAAGGCTGTACAACCATTATAGCAATGATATATTCCAATAAATCAGATATATTATTTATGTTATTCATTTAATTATAAAATTGAAACCTTGCATTTTAAGACATTTAGTAAAGAATAATGACACAATATTGTAAATGCAAAAACTTATGAACATAAAAGTTATGAGTGTTTCCACCTTTACTTAGAATTAAAGTAAAATAAACCTTTAATTAGTTTAAAGAGTTTGTTTTTAAATTGGTAGAGCTTCAGTTTAAATATTTTTTACAGATATCTTTATAAATACCACGTCAGTTCACGTACAAAACGTACATTATTAAGCAGTTTGGCTTGTCTCTGTCAAATCAGGCAAATGAATGCATCGTCCTAACGTTGAATATAGTATAATTCAGCGAGGACCGTACATTGTTCTTTTGTTCACAGGGTGAAAAGCGAATGCGAGGCCATTGTGAATGACGACAGTTCGTTATATAATGACACCACAACTGTGGTTATGAAGCGGGAGCTGCGTCAGGTAATCACACCGTTGTATATTCTTATTATGTACCTATAAAGTTGCTTCAAACATAATTGTCACCATCATTATATATATATGTGTAAAAGACAAAACATTAAAAAAATATGCTTCGAATTTATGATGACGGTTAAATTAACTATATGTAAGTTTTTGTTTTTACATACTTTAATTTTGTATTTAAATAAAAATGAAAGGCACTGAATGTTCTAAGCCTTGGTTCGTTTTCTTGAGGTAAATCGTAAATTTCAATGTTTTGTACATTGCTTGTTACTAGTTTGTCAATCGATCATATTTATCTTAATGGAAGATAAATTTAAAAACAAACTGTATCAGTGAATTTAGTGATATATCTATAAACTAAAAATAATGTTTTAGTGTTTACAGAAAAATATACCTAAGTTGAAATACAATTTTAAGTATAGATGGATGTATATAATATAAATAATAATATGTATGTACTATGTGCATGTGAAATAATTTGTAAGCGTTTTTATTTTCTATTGATTGCAGTAATTAAATGATTAACGCAATGATCAAGTTGTATTATAACACTGACAACGTATTACGAAACGTGAAATAATTTGTTGCACTAACGAAGTGACATTCATGTAGATACGATTCAATTCAATCCTCTTGTAAATACTCAAATGATATAACCGCATTCTATTTCGACATTTTATAATATTTTATAGGCCGAATAGGTTTTGTACAATAATTTATCTTAATTGATGTAGGCATGGCAACACAATCATCAAATTCAACTAAAAACGCTTAGAGTACTTTAACCATTTTAATTGTTATTGTTGTTAATCTCATAGCGAACTATTCAATGACTAATAGTATTAATTAAAAAGGCAATTAAATATACTGTGTACCATATAATGATTATAAATGCTTGTATGTACGTATGTGTATGTGTCTATGTTTGTTACTTCTTAGCGCTGACCTGGAGTAACAACTGCTGTCAAGCACCTAACTAAAAGAATATTAATTATTGCCTTTATAGTGTTACATATATTAATATAAAAAATAAAAATATCAATTATAAGATATATATAATAAGTTTTTATTATCTTTCAGCCTGAAGGAGTGGTAACGTTTAATTGGACGGCTCAACAGCAGGCCTACGTACTATCCAGCTACTTCTGGGGTTACACGATCACTTCACTCCTCAGTGGGACCGCTGCCGAGCTATGGGGTCCAAGAAAAGTGGTCTTCTTGACTATGCTGTTCACCGCAATACTCACAGTTCTAACTCCACAGGCAGCAAGATGGAATTACTATCTTCTCGTCGGCATCAGATTTGTTATTGGTCTTTTGTCTGTAAGTAAACTTTCTTGCTGCATATAGTACAAAAAACTTTAAAACGTAAAATAAGGAAAAATGAGGAATTTTTACGTAGGTACTCTTTTCTTAGATTATGACTTTTTACACTGTGCGTCATAGTGTTCATGAATTAAGAGTGACAATAATAATAAAGCAAAAAAATCCTTTAAATAGTGTTATTGTATAAAACGAAAATAAAACATGGAAAATGAACTGCTTTCAACACTTCTTTTTTATGTAAAATAAAAAAATACATGATATGCTCTTCCTGACGTAAGTAAATATTTTTATCTTGACAAAAACCGGTATATACGAAATACAAATAATAAAAATATACGAGTATATTAAAGCGCATTAACCCCATGAACCCATGAGCTTAAATATTAATAACATTAGTGTAACTTCGGATCGTACGTATTTCCGAGCCGGTGATAGCTTCCTCACGGACTGACTACACTGACGCTTACATTAAATTGACGATTCAAAAGCACTTGTAATACGTATTATTGAATAAAGTTTATTCCATTTCATTTCATTAATGTATTTAATTGTTTAGCCGTGCGATAAACTGTACTTTTTATAATATGCACCTTGTGTTATAAGGTTTAAATATAAAGGATTTTGCTTCTACGTAAGAAAATCAACTAACTCCAAAGAATGCAGTTAGCATTCACCGATCCATTCCCTACATATCATATACACGTAATAATAATTCTACTTTGTATAATATGTATAATGTATATGTACATAATATAAAACTATATTTTATTTGTAAAAATAACGGCAAATATCGTTATAAATTTTTAGTAACGTAATTTTTAAATTCTCAATGTTCATGCTTTGACTATACCCATTTATGTACTTTTTTCTTAGTATATAAAAACTTTTTAACAAAAAAATAAAAACCGACTTCAAACAAAAGCACTAAAAAGTAAAAAATAACTGATTGGTAGTTTTCATTTACTATACATACCTAATAAAATATTTTCGAAGTCGGTGTGCTTTGGCTAAGTAATTAAAGCCTACTTATTAAATACATACCTAATCAAATATTTTCGAAATCGTTGCCAGCCCATACAAAGCAAAGCACACCGACTTCGAAAATATTTGATTAGGTATGTATAGTAAATGAAAACTACCAATCAGTTATTTTTTACTTTTTAGTGCTTTTGTTTGAAGTCGGTTTTTATTTTTTTGTTAAAAAGTTTTTATTTTTCCCTTTTTAGTGTAGACAGTAGTAGCAAAGTAAGGATTCTAACGTGTTAGGCTTGTCAAATCAAACAAAATAAGCTCAAACTCAAAGTATCTACTATTAGCCGTTGAAGAGTTCCACCTATCCACCTTTTGGCCTTGCCATCAGATCAGGTCAACAACACCGAACCAATGTACTATCAACGGAAATAGAAATACTTGCAAAGTTTCAAGTCAATATGGCAATTAGAAGTAGGTTAAATTCATCATTAGTTGTTTTTCCACCCTTAGGGGTGGTATTTTTTTTTGACATTTAAATGGGACCAATCTGGAAGTAGACCCTTTCAAACAAAACAAAAATGGTCCAAATCGGTTAATAAATGACGGAGTTCTGAGGTAACAATCATAAAAAAAAAACATACAGTCGAATTGAGAACCTCCTCCTTTTTGAAGTCGGTTGAAAATTAGCCCTAATAATTTCTAATGTGTTAATTCATTACTTCAATTTATATTATATACTGTACAAAAGACAGGATTTCGGTTCGCTCTTGTTCGCATTTTGTCGTCACTTGTTTACCTCTTGATGCAATGGATAATTTAGCCATCTCTATCCCATCAACAATCCCTGATTTTGTTATACAAATCTCATTGATTATTAACTAAAATATCGTGTTTACTAAATATAAAAAATATACCAATACATTTATTGCATTTATAATACTTACTTCTAAGGATTTGTATTATAAGTCAGGGACTGTTAAAATATTAACTTTTTGTACAGGGTTTTCTGTTCCCCGCACTACACGCTCTGGTGGCTCACTGGGCTCCTCCTGCTGAGAAAGGCAAGTTCGTCAGCTCTTTACTTGGCGGTGCCATCGGAACCGTAGTGACATGGTCTTTGTCTGGACCATTGATCGAGAACTTTGGATGGAGCTATGCGTTTTACGTGCCTGGTAAGAAATATGCTATTCCAATAAATTAAACATAAATAAAATTATAATAGATGGATATTGTATGATTCTTTTTTTAATTATTCGAATTCATCGAAGTTAGTCAAATAAACTTCAAGAAAAACCTCTTCTCACCTCTAAAGGTGAAATTAAAAGTTATTTTAAATTCAGTTTAATGTTTATGATAAAAAGTTGTTATAGTGTAGTAAATGTATTTCTAAGATATTTAGTATGCAAAATTAAATTACCATTTAAGAATTACTTTTGATTAAAAATTATTTATTACTATGAATAATTGTAATGAATATTAAGAAGTATAAGAAATTACAACTACACATTATATCCAATAAGTATTATTTATACATTTAAACTTGACTTTAATATATGTTTTAAAAAAAATATGTTACGTATTAAATTGGTATTTGAGATTGTAGAGCTTCTCAATCCATTGTGATGATATGGTCAAGATCGTACAAAGATTAATAATAACCAATGTTTGATAAGTACCTATTATCTATCAGGTATCTAGATCGTAACCCCCACCATTGACTTTCTTCTATACTTAAAATTCTAAGCAAAACAATCATTATTTCTTTGTTCTTTCTTTGTTGTTTGTGTTAATTCACAAATAAATGAAATTAACATACTGAATTCTAGTTTCGTGTCCGCGATTCTGTCTGCAGGTTCAGTTCTGTATGGCTGTTGACATGAGAATTATTATACTCACACAGTAGATTAAAGAAAAAATGGAAAAAAAAGAATTGATCGTATTTTTAAACTATATATTATCTATATAGATTATATTTACTAGACCGATAGTACAAAACAAGTATAAACTTTTGAAATAATTTTAGAGTAAGTAGCATTTGATTAAGTAGGTATATTTATTTGTTATTAGTTATGTAAATTTTAAACAAGCCAAGGTAGCGTAACAGATGTAATATATTAACATATTTTTAAAGGTGTACTTTTATGACTTATGAGTGTTTTTATTATAGGTATTATTGGCATTGTGTGGTGTGCAGCGTGGTGGATCTTGGTATACGACTCACCCGTTCATCATCCCCGAATTTCCCCAGAAGAAAAGGCTTACATATTAGAAGCTATCGGTAATAAAGTACAAAGTTCAAAGGATAAGGTAATTATATTTTAAATGTTGATTCGTTTATTACATTACTAGGGATTCACCTTACTTCTCTCGGGTTCGTCTTTAGGTATATTTTAACGGGTAGTATGGATATCCCACAGGAACCGTATATTTTTACGTGATAAAACGTAACCTATGTGCTATTTCAGACTATAATCTATCTTTGTGCCACACGCAGACTCGTTCAGGCGTTCCGGCGTGATTGAGTAACAAACATCCACCCATCCAAACTTTCGCATTTATAATATTTATGGGATATTTATTATGTTACTATAATAAAAAATACAATAGTTAATTGATTAAAAACTTGTATATTCTAGAAAAAATTTTACCTGTATAAAATTAGTGTAGATAAAATATAACTTATGTGTATATATTATTCATGATACAAGCTATCTCCACACAGAATTTAATTTATATACATTGAATCACTAAAGCATGTAGAAGTGAAAATCGCACCCACTCACAATCTTTCATTTTCAATATTACCAACCAATGACTATAAAATATAACAATAAATAGCAGCTAATATTAATTAGTGAGATTATTTTTAGACTGTGCCGCCATTTAAGAAAATATTTACATCGTTACCGTTTCTTGCAATGGTAATCTTGCATTATGGGAGCAATTGGGGTCTTTACTTCGCGATGACAGCCGCACCAAAGTTCGTATCGAGCGCGCTCGGCTTCAACCTCACGTCTACTGGAACACTCGCTTCATTACCTTATTTAGCCAGAATGATATTCTCACTTATCTTCGGCGCTATCGGCGACAGGTAAGAAAGCGTAGAATATTTTTTGTTCAATTTAGATTATGATTGTAGGTCAAAATATAAATGTTTTTGTAACAACTTGTTCGGGTCAATATGAAAGTGAGCATAACGTGTTCGTTGTGTCCAATAACTTTTTAGTTTTTGTTTTATTTTTTATATTGTCAGTAATTAATTTGGTATTATTATTTGAATGATTTAATTTTTATGTACGAAATGTGTATTCGTCCGAGAATCAAATAAATAGAAGAATTAGTATTGGTCCGATTTGTTTTGTATTAAAACAAAAAACCCGCAATTTTTTAATGATGACCTGACAATAGTTGACAAAGATAATAGTTTCGGTTTCGGATAATTCATTTTCCGTCCGATCTATAAGTAGAGCCCGAGAAATAACCACACGAATAACTGCAACCTTTTAACAAAATCAGGAAAAAATCCCAAACGTAATTAATTGTGCTCAAAGTGTGAATGTATGTGCATAAATAACAACTATATTATAATAGATATGTAATATAGTGATCATGAAATTAAATTTTTAATATTCAATACGTATAACCACTATAATACACTATAAGTACTAATAAGTATAAAATATTGTACTTGGTTATTCAGTTAGACCCGTTTTTCTTTGCTGAAACGATGTTCTCTGAATTCCACGTTCTTAACGTCACGTCCATGTTCAACGCAAACGACAAAATATGTAGCTACCAAGGTTGCTAGGTAAAATTTTGAATTACACTCCGAAATATTATCCGTTTAATTAATTTGTGCAATATATAAATACAATCTAAAACTTTTATAATAAATCACATACATATTTATTTTCAGAATAGTAAGACGAAATGTGGTATCGACATCGTTTATGAGGAAGTTCTTCTGTCTCTTCTCACATATAGTGCCTGGACTACTTCTCATAGCTCTGGGATACACCGGGTGTGCCCCCATACTCTCTGTGGCTCTCATCACCTTCTCTATGGGTTCTAATGGAGCAGCAACCCTCACAAACCTGGTCAACCATCAGGATCTTGCTCCGAATTATGCTGCCACCTTGTACGGAATTGCCAATGGTATAGGAAACACGGCTGGTTTTGTTACGCCGTTAGTCACTGCTCATTTTACAAAGAACGGAGTAAGTATTCTCGAATGTTTTTTTTATTCTTTGTTGTTTTTATTGTTAATGACGAGTATACACGAGTATTTACTATATAAGGCGATATAAATTATGAGTATAGGAAATATTGGTAGAGCATATGAATTTTTCATATAATAAGTTAGTGGAAGTAAGAAATATATAACAATTATAAAATATTTTGCTCATGCTATTTGTATATGTTACAATAATGGTATAGAATACTAAGAAAGAGAGAGAAAAATAAATAGTGCTTATAAATATTTAGTAACATTATATAAATGATAAGTGATAAAATATAGATAAGTTCTAACAAAGTTATGAATACTGCCAGATGTTTATTATATAATAATAATAATAAATGTAATATTTCAATGGCACCGTCTATTTTAGCATTTGTCTCACATTCGATTCCTGCACAATGTGAATGTTATTATATTTTTTACCATTGCCCGCGGCTCCGCCCGCGTTCAGATGACCAAAAACCAAATTCTTAGGTTTTACATATTAGTATACATTGCAGTTTTTGTATTTTTTCTCAGAAATGATACATTTTTCCGCGGTAAAAAGTATCCTATATGTTGACCCGGATAACCAACTATCACCATATCAAATTTCATCAAAATCCCTCCAGTGGTTTTTCTGTGATACGGTAACAGACAGACTGACAGACAAAAAATTTAAAAACTATAGATTCGGCTCTATCGATAATAATGTTCATTTCAATAAGATTTTCCAAAAAATATTTAATGTACTCGGATGTAGTAATGTATTCGGATTAGTAACAATTTTATTTTAAGTATAGATAGATATTATGTATCCGGGTCGGCTGGGTTGGGCTAAAATTATATTGTTTAACAATTAACAAAAATATCCTACTATAGATGTAAAGCGGAAGACAGAGTCATCTGACATATCTATATATATATCTCTTTATAAGGCAAAAGTCCGTGAAGATATAAGAATGAAGATAAAAATAATTCTTAGAAAAGATAACATTTATTTTAATATTTTAAACGTCATTGTCATTATAGTAGTACGTGGGAATATATGCCCACTTCTCAGATAGGTAGATCGTAGTTACATTATTTGACAATGTACGTGTTCTTTGTTTGTTACAAATTAAAATGTCCTCGATTATTATGAATTTAACTTATTAAAATCGACTTCAAAAAGTAATTCTAAGGGGTAATACGTTCTACTGTTGGTATAATTTTAACATTAATTTTCAGAATGGTTTTGCGGAATGGCGACCGGTATTCTTTACTGGAGCATCGCTATACATTGCATCTGCTGTTTACTTTATAATTTTCGGCACCGGAGAAACGCAGTCATGGAACTATGTGGCGCCTGCTGAGGAAGATGAAGACAAGAGACCAAGCGCGAGCTCCACAGACACCACAGTTACTATACCCGTTAAAACATAAAAAGTATTATTGTATTTATATTATACTAACGTGGTCAAAGTTGTACATCAAATATATCTGACAAATTTCTAAAACTCAACATAATTATATTTAGGGTTCCCCAAAAGCAAACTCGTTAGGAAATAATAAAAATGAAACTTTCTTTTAAAAGTTTTTTTGTTTAGTGGTGTATCATTAGAGAATATTAGGCGGATTACCTTGGGGCTTCTTTTGTTGTATAGGTAATAGTTAAAATTACAAAAATTGTGGGCAGTTTTATTTGGATTTGTTGATTTTAAAAGCTTGAGTTGTCCATTTTATTCCCATAAATGTTTAAAGACCCATTGTTATCAAAGGATCTATTGCTCGCGAGCTACATTGAAATACTTATTCACAGTTAGGTATACGCGAATATAGCCGAAGGCTGTAGTTTGAAAATAATGAATTAAAACTAGATAAATTTTACTATATTACCTATCATCCTTAGATCAAATCGTAAGTTTTATGTTAATTTTGTTCAAAATACGGGATTGTTTTTTATCACAAAAAATAAGTTGCGTCAACGGAAAGTCCCCGTACTCATAAGATAATGGTTATATTCAGATGCAAAAAAGGCTTCTATTAAAAACACAATATGCATAATAATGTATAAAAACCGGCCCAGTGCGAGTCGGACTCGGGTACGAAGGGATCCTTTATCCGTACTATTATCTATAAAAACGGCAAAAAAATCACGTTTGTTGTATTGGTGCCCCTTTAAATATTTATTTTATTGTTTTTTAGTATTGGTTGTTATAGCGGCAACAGAAATACATAATCTGTGAAAATTTCAACTGTCTATCACGGTTCATGAGATACAGCCTGGTTACAGATGGACAGACAGACAGACGGACGGACAGCGGAATCTTAGTAATAGGTCCCCGTTTTAGCCTTTAGGTACGGAACCCTAATAAAACGAATTTATAAAGTATGACAGTTTTTAATTATTTGAGGCTCTTTTGTGAAGAAAATTATTGTTATTTGCAGCTTTTTTACGATTGTTATTTAAACAAAATTAACATAGCAATGACTATGTATTTGATAGTCTAGTATATATTGTAGTAATAAAACATAGTATTGTAAAATATTTTTTATTATATTAAGAATATTCGTTTGCAAATTAATAATTTTGAATTGATTTTAAAATTTCTCATCAAAACATGTTAAGGTACCTCAGGGGTTTATATTCATGATTTAGATCTATTAAGTGAAATTATAGGTTACACTGTACTTTTTTTAATACGCTAGATTATTTATATTTAATATATTCATAGTGGTTTGTTTATTATCGTTTAACATAAAAAGTAAAATAACTAATTTAACATATTTAACATATAGTCCAGGAGGAATCGGCGCATGAGTATCTGAAACTATTGCACCTCAACTTTTTTATGTGATCCTCTTCAAATTGCCCTACTGATGATAGGTATAAATGCATGTTGCCATGGGGCAACCCTGTGCCATATTGTTTAAACCGAAATTGTTTAAACAATTGCAAAGAAATGGTTTTTTTAACCGGACAATTTTTTTTATTCTTTATTGAAATACAAATAAAAAAGGTCCTATGACTTTTCGCGATAAGGTTAATATTTTTAGAGATATAATTTTTAAAGGTTCGAAAAATCTCAATTTTGGGTACTTTTGACCCATTAAAAATATATTAAAAAAATAAATATAAATAATATATTTTTTTAATTCTTTATACGATAGTTAATAATATTCTTAATAGAGACACGTATAAACAATGAAATGTTCTTAAATCTCTATTAAGAATATTATTAACTATTGTATAAAGAATTAAAAAAAATCCACAGATCTCGTGTCTGCCACGACCTTAGAGTACATTGAAAATGAATCTGCCAAATGAACTGAATTAAATTTTTAACATATTAATTACTAGCAGAACAACCGATTTTGCCCGCGTTCAGACTACAAAAAAGTATTTGGATGCATAAAGATATATCCATACAATTATAATAAAACTATAGAAATCAAATGTCTGTACATAGGAAAAATATGCTAAAAACCGAGTCAGGCGGATGTAAGAAGAGAAATAGAATAAATTCAGATTTTTCCAATTTTTTTGTTTCTCTGTCTGTTTGTCTGTTTGTACGGGCTAATCTTCGAAATTGTTGGACCGATTTAAATGACATTTTGCATGGTGATACCTTATATCCCCGGTCAATATTTTAAGTACTTTTTATCCCGGAAAATTAAAGAGTTCCCGTGAGCTAGTTAAAAATATACAGCTTAGTAAGTAAACAAAAACTACTGATTGGTTTTTAATGAAACATTATTAGTTCATACATAAGAATAACAAATAGTCTACTTTTACTCCCGGAAAAATGTACGGTTCCCGTGGGATAGATTTGTTTTTGTTTGTCTAGAAACCCGTGCGAAGCGAGGGTGAGCCGCTAGTGACTAATATATAATTTGATGGATGAAAGAGAAGAGCAGAGACATTAAGAGAAACACAGAAGATAGGCGAAGAAGAAATTTGAAGAAGCCACGCCTGTTAAACAGTTAGCAGTTAATCAAACTAACAGTTAAACTAACTGACAGTTAAGCTAACTGACAGTTAAACTAACTGACAGTTAAACTAACTATCCGTTAATCTAACTTACTAACAGTTAAAATAACAAGAGGTTATACTAACTGACAGTTAAACTAACTGACAGTTAAACTAACTAGCCGTTAATCTAACTTACTAACAGTTAAAATAACAAGAGGTTATACTAACTACGTTAATCTAACATACAGTTAACGTTACTGACAGTAAATAAAACTGACAGTTACACTTACTGATAGTTAAGAGAAGAGGATCACATAAAAAAATTGAGGTGGAATAGTTTTTGGTACTCCTGATCTGATGATATGAAATCCTGGGTGACCGAGTTTCGCTCTGCCTAGGCGCTCGATCAGTAAGTAGGTTCTGGCTATCATCCATTGGCGACAAAGCAAGTGCCACAAAAATATATGAGATGGCGCTATATGACAGTGTCAGCATGAGAGCAGATAGAAAAAAATCTAATAATAATAATCTTCTACGTGTATTGTATATTATAAAAGGCAAAAGTGATTGACTGATGTATTAATGCAAAAGTCAAACCCTTAAGGCTAGAAAATTGAAATTTCGCACACGTATTCCTCATATGACGAAGGCATCCAATATGGAAGGATTTTTCAAAATTCTAGCCCCAAGGGGGTGAAATAGGGGATAAAAGTTTGTATGAAACTTTTTATTCCTTGACATATTTGCATGAAATTTCATATGAATTGAGTAAGTACGGCGAAAATAATGAGTTACGTATTTCATCGTTTTCTAAAATTCAACCCCTAAAAGGGTAAAATAGGGGATGAAAGTTTTTATGAAACCCACATTTTAGAGATTTTTTGTAGTTTTAGCGCGAGCGAAGCCGTGGATTATGCTAGTTAGTTATAAAAAAAGATATAGATTAACTTAAAAGCAAATTTTTTTCAAAATACAAATTTTGATCTAAATCATTAGAGCCGTTTCCGAGATACACGAAATAAATTTTTTTCTTCTGCATTGTTATGAACGTCATCAACGTTAGCGTAAGAACAAGAATTGCTCCTTGAATATTATAAGATAAGATATACTACATATACTGCGCTGTCGTGTTCTATAGCACGTATGTAAGGAGACTTTAGATATACTCGCACAAATGACGCAAGGAAAATATAACTGTAAAAAATAATTTTGCTACAGTTATGTTAATACAAGTTTATGATTTTATTTATACAATATAAATGATCAGATACAACTGTATGTATAAATATATTTTTAAGAAAAAAAGAATATTTTCTTGTCTGTGATTAAATGTATGATTATATCGAATAATCAATAAAATAATATATAATTTGTATAGTCGTTTTATTTGATATAAAATCATCAAGAATGAGGTGAGTATAAATAATTTTAAAATTATTTTGTTTCTTTAATATTAATTACGTGATGAATATATGAATATATACATATATATATATATATATATATATATATATATATATATATATATATATATATATATATATTATAAATATATATATATTTATTATAAACACAAAAGTACAATGGTAGAAACTTATTTACATAAATCTGAAGAAAATTAATTATTTAGTTTTAAGCACTTGTATTAATTTCTGGTTTGTAAATACAATTCTACAAAAACTATCCAGTGATACACCGATTCGTATATCGCGCCAGCTCGAGAAAAAGTAAAGTCAACTTGACAAAGACTCTTGACAGGTGGATGTAGTCACAGATTAATTATCGAATATCAAAATAGTGAATTCATCCTTATAATATATATATAGTATTAATGACTGATGTATTAATGCAAAAGTCAAACCCTTAAGGCTAGAAAAATATGGAAGGATATATATATATCTTTATATATATATAATTCTTCTGTGAGTGTGAAAATGCTATTTAAATATTAATGAATTATTGAAAAAACAACATAAGCATTAACACGTCGATACATATAACGCCATCTATTGACATATAGTCTGTCTGCTCGTTTGTCACTGAACACAATAAAAACAAATGACGTTACATACCACAGATGGCATAATTAACTGGCACAGATGCTCATGCCAGTGCATAACAGAAATTGAATAGCACTAAAACGGGCTATTTTGTTTTTTTGTGTTTTGTTGGTTTGTAAGCTATAGATGACGTTGATCTGCAATCTGTCCCAATGTTTTTTATGCATTTTGCTAAACAAGTTTTAGTCTTTACAGTTTGTAACCGCGACAAACAATTCATGAAAAGTAAACAGCGCCATCTATGAATTCAGGCGTTAATTAAAAGGCTTTTGTATTAGTATGTTATATTTTTTGCCTAAATAATTTGAAATTCGAAATATTTTTTTGTACAATCAGAGGATAGGTAAGTCCTGACTCCTGACATATTCAATACTCAGTAAGTTAATTTTTTTTAGGATCTACAAGACGGTATAACTAATTTATAAGATTTTAAAATAAATTAATTTAATTTAAATATCTTAAAAATGATTTGAAGGCTAGAATAAAATGCAAGTGTCTTTACAAATCATATGTATTTTAATAGTTATTTTAGTATGAATACTAAAACATTTAGGTACACTATCATACACTATATACACATTTATTTGTTTTACAATACATTTATATTATATTATATTTTAAAACTCTACACGTACATGACACAATAGACAATAGACTAACGTTACATACATATATTCCAATACACAACAACTAATAAGTAGATACATTAAAATTTTAAAACGTAGTTGATGTTAAATCTACATTGTCCACTACAATAACATTATTATTTCATCAGATTCTCGGAAGAACTTTTTGTATAATTAAGTTTGGAAACTATTCTTACGTCTTTGGAATTACATCACCAAAACAGCTCAGGTTATGGTCACATACATAGAAAGTTTAAGGCGGGATTCACACGATAACGCTAAAATTAAATAGAAGTACTATAAATCCATTTATCAATATCAAATGAGGGTCTTACGATATCTACGTAGTCGTGCATGGTGTATTACAGTACTACTATTGCACCCTTATAATATGTTAAATTGTGCGTTTACATTTCACACGTAAGATTCTGATTCCGTATCGGATTCTGAACAACCGAGAGCGACGACGTTTTGACCATTTTTGTCGATACCGTTTGGTGGATCTCTATAAACGGGAGGTACGGATTTGGATCGTGACGCTTTATCTTCTTTGTTCACGTGAACCGGTTGAAATTTCTTCAGAACCCTTTGATATATCATTTTTCGTGGTGGTACAGGAGGAGGCATGTGAGGTGGCTTCTTCTTGTTGTTCTGTTCTTTCTCCGAATAATCAGGTTGCACTGAAGTCGGGGTCGCTTTGTAAATGTCGGAAGTGAACATGTTCTTTTCTTCGTGAAAGATATCCCTTCTGCGATTGTAAACGGACGTATACAGGGGTTCTATGTATTGGGTCGTGTAGCAATTTTCAAAGGAGTTTTCACTAGCAGTTGATTCGGTAGAGCGGCTGTTGTAAGAGTTCTGTGGTTGGTACAATGTGTCGCAGCTGCTTGAATCGCTTTGTAGAATAATGTTTGCTAGAGACTTTGATTGATTTAACTTTGCGTTATTATAATTGCGGACTCTACATTTCTTTTCTTCTGCATTGTTATGAACGTCATCAACGTAAGCATAAGAATTTGGCGAATTTGTGGCATGTTTTTCTTTTTCCCTGCCATGCATGTTTGGTGTAATACAATTCTTTGTGCACATATGAGCAGGGTCAAATCGTCTCTTCCGACAACAATTCACAATGTTTATCTCGTAACTTCCATTACGAGCTTTATCATTAACGTTGCTGTGCCCTTCGTCGCTGACTTCTAAGCTCTTCGTCCTCGCTGCTTGACGAGACCAGTCATTTCGTATAAAAATGGTGGCTGCCGGAGTTGTTTTTCCATCTGTTTTATTTTGCGAGGACTCTCCCGGGTTTTTATTCATCTGGCCATATATATTTTCGGTTGCGCAGGTGTTTCCTTGGTTATAGTTCGCACTTTTCTTCTCCCAACCAGAGTAGACACGAGAATAGTTCCCGTTAGACAATATTTCGGCTTGTGATTGATATTGGTTTTGTCTTTGAATATTTTCAGTGAACATGGCAAGATCGTGTATATTGCTATAGACTATGTTCTCCTGACTGGAAACCATGTCACGTTTTTTATCAGCAGCTTCCTGTTTAGCTTCTAACAAGTTATCAGAGCTTTTGGCTCTATTAAAATTTTTGTTCGTAACATTATTTTGAGATTCTTGAGATTCTGCATACATGCTATACACTTTTGAAGTCCTAGCGGCTTTCGAAACGTTACTTCTCGGTGGTTTCTGTGGTTCTAAGCCGGTTATATATTTCGCAGGACTCTGTGCATAGATGTCGGCCGTCGCCCGTTGTACTGCCGTTTTGGAAACGTAATTTCTATCGTCGATACCATTAGCTATGCCAATGTTAATAGAATTATGAACGTATTTTTCTCCCATATATGGCATCGTGTAGAGATCTTCATTGACTGTACTATATAATTCTGCTTTGTTAGAGTATAGATTTTGTTGCCGTTGCGATATTTGTGGAAGACCATTAATATTGTGATCCGTATTATACCGTGCTTGTTTAGGATCTTGTAAATTACAAGTTGGCGCTGACAGACTATGCAAAATATTTCGGGGAGCTGGGCTGTTCCCTCCATTACTATTCGAATCATCTTCTGAAAGCGTCAGCCCTGAGTCTCTACTAAGCGATAGTTTTTCCTTCCTGGGTGTCGATAGTTCCATAGAATCCAGGGATATTCCGACAGAATGAAGGCTATCACTTTCTTCAGCACCCGAGTCAAGTAACGCGTTCGATGATTCAGGACTGCCATTTCCTAAAAGTCCAGATATTTGCGGTCCAAATAACGCTTCTGCTTTTACTATGAGTAGTTCTACAACCATTGGCACTGCTTTGGGAGCTTTGTCACAGGGAGTATTAGGCCAGAGCAAACTCGGACCAACACATACACCTAAATTCATAGGGCACATAAGATTTATGTTAGACTTTTTAGCGATTGCTTGCAGAAGACACACGAAGTATGTTAACATGTTGTAGTGCGCCTTTGGCAGCTTTAATAATAGGGAGCGTACGGCCGTTACCTTCTCGGCTTGAGGTAAATCTGAAAAAAAAAATCATTAATATTTAAAAAAAATTGCAGGATGAGTATTAAAAAAATATTAAGCAGTTAGATAATAATTATAGGATTGTCAATTATATTTACAAATTACACTTACTTAGAACTTGAAGCCAAGACGGGTAAAGATCAGCTGCTAGTAATGGTTGAGGCAAAGCGCGGAAGAATTCTTTCACCAGCGCAGCGAGCAGCAGCACCGGCGCGCGCTCCAGCTCCGGGCAGCCTTCCGCCCATGGGCCTAACGCGTCTAACTGTAATTTAACATTATTTATTAATTTTATAACTTCATTATTATTTTCATATACTATGTACAATCCTCTTTGACTTACATGTGCATCCACATCGAAAACTCAGATAATTGTTTTGCATCGTTTATTAAGTTGAAATTTGATAGTCCCTGTTAGCAACGCAATTTTATTTGTATTGGATGGTATATTTCTACATTCTGTTATATGCGAAACGATATCAAAACAATACACGTTTCAGTTAACAATTAAACAACTGTTCTATACAAAATACTATAAATAATAATATTATATATAAAATATGTAAATTAATTCCAAAACGAATTCAATATAATACTTATAAATGGATTATATGAGCCTCCAGGCTCTTGCAATGTTGGTTATTAGAATTTGTATTTTATATAAAAGATTAAAAAAAAACTACACTCCCGTAAAGTTTTTTTATATACATACTGTATACTGACGATTACGCCATTTTTTTTCGAACTGTTTATAGAGTTCGTGGCAAACAATAAAAGTATTTCGGAAATACCAATAAATCAATATTGACTAAAGGAATTAAAAAATAAAACACTTACCTTATCTCTTAGCAATCTAAGCGCTTTAGCGTTCGCACTACGTCTAAACACGCCGTGTGTGAGCGGCGCGGCGACGCGCAAGCGACGCATCGCGTTGAGCAGCGCGGGCGGCGGTGCGCCGCTGCACAGGCGGGTGAGCGCCACGCCGAACAGACGTCCACCGCGACGCAGCAGGCGGAGTCCTCGACCGGGAGTTGCATTGGCACTGTTTTCACCAATAGAACTTATGTTGAAATTATTCAATACTAATATATATACAAGTTTTTTTTGAAATTATTCTTAGTTAATAAAAAGATTTGAAAAATATACGAGTAGTTTACTACATATTTGAAGTTTATTAAGTTTAAGCAAATTTGTATTGTTGTGTTTCAATGTTATTTATTCCGGTACAATGTATGTATATCTAAAAGATAGAATTAATATGTTTCTTACCTTTTTAATCCTTGATTTTTCTTTCTTAATTCGAATACCAATCCACATGGGTTGTTTTTAGCGTTAACATGTTCTAAGTCGAAACCATCTTCACTCGACAAAGTTTGCCTTATTCGGGACATCTAAGGAAAATTTAAATAAACTTTAATTCTAATTATAAGAAATTATTATAATACTAGTATTATAATTCTAAAATAAAAGTAGCCTTATGACATCAACTATCTGCTAGTAAAAGTCCTGTCAAAATCCGTCTAGCCGTTTCTGAAATTAGCCGGAACAAACAAACATACTGATAGACAGACAAAATTAAAAAAAAAAGTGTTTTTCTTATAAGTTCCGCGTATATTTCATATACATTTAGCAGACAAAAGGTACTCTTTTTTATTCATTGTACTGTATATATATTGTATTGTATTGTACACACATTATAAAAATACACATTATATAAATATTACATTGTATTGTACAATATATTAAAAATATTTAAATCATCAATCACCTGGACAGCATGCGGTCGTTCAATACCCTGTAGGGGTGAAGGTGGGGCATCGCGTCCAGTTCGTATCCAAAGCGTAAAATCACCGGCAGCCCCCCACCTCCCCTCATCCCGCTCAGTCTCTCCTTCTGGTTCCCCATCTCCTTCGCCTCCGTTGAGAACATGCAATGCTTGCCGCACTACACACCGAGCGCTCATATCAGGACTTATTGACACGGTTTTGCACTGCAAAGGATATAACATTGATTTTAGTATTATAATTACTTATTAATTACTACAAAATTGAAAACAAATATAATACATTTTAGCAAATTTTGAAAAATATTTGCTAATGCTTTAAATCTGATCCCACTTAAGGCATTCTTTTGAAAGTGTGCCTAATTTGTCACTAAGAAATGTGCAGTTTGCACAATTTATGAAATACTAGTGCATACAAAGTGATTTCTTTATTTGCCACAATCTAACAAGTTGTTTTACATTCTAAAGTACAGTCAGTTCATGCGTGATGAAAATAACAATAATATACCTCAGGATATGTGGATGGGAATATCCGTGAAAGTGAAACGAATGAAAGTTTTAGTTTTACAACATGACACAAGGCCAATAAGAGAGTTGCGCCTCGCATTCGCATCTAAGTTGAAATCAGGAAAACTTTTACTTCATACTTACAAATTCTATTGAGCTCGTCAGATCCTTGTAGAAAATTTGAATATTTGTTGACTTTGGTTCTGTCGCCAGTTGAACATTTAAAGCGTTTTGTATTTTCCTGGAAATAAATATATAAACTGTTATTTTTTCCATGTGCAATATATAAAAAAATATTCCTTTTTTTAATTATTTATTACGTACCTATGCCAGGTATCTCTGGCAGCTTGCGTTGGGTAAGTAGCGAGGTAGTTAGTGACACCGGTGACCGTCGGCCATCCAAGAAGAAAGCCTGTATCATCACCTTCTGGCAAGGAAAGCCAAATTTCTGCTAGTCTTACACTCTCTTTTAACTTAAAGCAGTTTGTCCCTCTTGATTTTCCTACTAAAAGCAAGTCACTAAAAAGGAATAGATGGCGGTCTAACGGTGGGGAGGTTGATCCAAGTGGACACAATTGGACTGGAGCTTCCATGATGAAAGTCCGAGGCGATAATGCGCTGCTATTGCCGCTAACAGTACCGCCAATGTCCAAGCTGGGTCGCTTACGTAAACTTTTCGACTTCTGAAATTGAAACATTGTTTTTGAGGGAAACATGTAAATTTAAAAAAAAATATATAATAAAAATCACTTTTAATCTCAATTTCTATCGCCTATAAGAACAATTTCTAATAACACAATAAAATATTATAGTAATAATTTAAGAGATTCTATAGCTACCTGTGCATGGTGCGAGGCAAGAGCGGCGGGTGCGTCTGCGTCGTGCAGCGCGAGGTAGTCGTGCGGAAAGAGGTCTTGTACGCGCTCCAGGTCAGAGAGGCGCGACGCACGCCGTCTCGCGCACCCGCCGCCCACCAGACGCTCATACTGCGCTAGACGCTCAATCTAGAACAAATAACAATACATAATTAACATTATTATTTACTCTATTATATAATTAGGCGAGAAGTATAATTAAGTTCTCGCGTTTTTTATACCTGTACTTTACGATAACATAGGTATTCATTTATAGAAGCTAGTTGTAATTACTTACAATAGAGTACATACGAGTATATACATATCTCACGTATGTTATAAGGAATGAGTATACCTACATGAAAGAGATAAAGCGTTTATAATAAGTGTCACAATTATAGTCCACTATATGAAATTTTAGATTTAGTTAGCTTTCTGGACTGCAAAATAAATATACAAGTTCTAAGATCACAGCGCCGACGGCTTAGTTTGATATATTATGATATTTCAACCATGCGTCCGCTGCAGGCATTCGACCATTACTTCGAATTATGAGCCACTACTTACGCTCGCAAGATAAATAACTTATAGTTGCTATTTAAACAAACAGCTATAAAGGGATAAGGAGGTGAATAAGAAGCTTAATTTCCGTTTGAGTTTTATGCTTCATTAGCGAGTGGTATTGTAAGGTAACGATACTAATCTATATTCTAATAGCATACGGAGCCCTGAAGGAAGCTTCCCGAGTGCACGACGCCCTCTCGAGCGTGTCCGCGACAAAGCCACTGTATTATAACGCAGACCGTGAGACTTTTTACTATTCATTGTATGCACTTACAATTTTAAATTACTGATGCTATGATGAAAGGGTGCCTTATAATTTATACATGAGAAATTGACTTCAAGATCTGTTTTTTAATATTGATTTTAATAATATTTTAAAGTAAGGGCAAAAAGGCAATAAAAATAACACTCATAATTATTAATTTCATGTAAAGTTAAATACCTACATGCATTTAAATTCTCAAGAATTCAAATAAATGAAGTATGTTCCTACATATGGACGGTTACGTTCACAAAACGTTGCATTTGACCTGTGACTAATGAAAGACATCAACGGGATTGCAGTCATTACTTCTTCCAAGAACGTGGCTATTCCGCTTATCATCGTCGCAATAAATTATAGTACTTTAGAGATGTTGATTTGTTAAAACATTTTGATGATTGAAGACGTTTGACACAAATTACAATAGTTGTAGTGTGTAGAAATTGTAATGTATTGCAAGAACAATTTAACAGTGTCCATAAAATAGTTACTAGCCACTTGGACAGATGGAATCACTAATCGAAGTATTATTATAATTGCGAAAGTTTGTGATTGTATGTTTGTTACTCCTTCACATTGAAATCGCTGGATGCATATTGTAACGGTATATGTTATGTATATTATTAATTGTTTAACATATCTCCCTAACTCATAGCTTACTCTACGAAATTTATCACACAGAGAGACCATAGGCTATTTTTCCTGTAATTTTATGTATGTCATGTACTTACAGACGCACCCGAGTAAAGTAAGGCTAAGTCGCTAATTTGTAATAATACTCAATCAATATAAGTTTATAATACATAATTTTCCTATAGATTGACGTTTGACGGTTAGCAAAAAAACGTAAGTGGTTTTGGTAAGTGATATTAAGTTAAGGATAAAGTGCGGGCGCATGACATGAAGTTATTCTGCTGTAAGTAATTGTACATATCGTGAGTGTATAAGTTTATAGCTCATATTTTAATAATCATAAAGTTGAAAATATATAATAATCTGTTTCGGTTCTCAACCGCGGACTGACGCTCCGTCTTATGTGAACAGACAAGTCCGTTACATGATCCAATTTGTGCCGATTACATCAACACACACGATAAACTATGTTAGTTTTTGATAACGACTAATTTACCATCATTATCGATGTAGGACGATATTTGATGTGATATATTATAATCGTTTTAGTGTTTGTTGTAGTTATTTAATCTGTTACTTAAAGAAAGCGACTTTACGCTACATATTTTTTTTTTGTTATTAACAGTAATAGAGAAATTTATAGATTAAATGCACGATATTTAAAAAAATATATATTTTAACGTATGGTATGTATTTAATGTTATTTAACTAAAGTAGCAAACATCGTCTAGTTGAAGTAAAGATTTATTATGTGGAGTAATAAGAAACGAAAAAAGATAAAATAAACGACGACATAATCTTTTGTCTTTCTTAAAACATTTTAAATTTTTAAGCAGATAAGCTTTTCGTATTTAAGTTACGAACAATTTAACGATTACGATTAAAGCTGACAAACAAAAGGTTCAAGTATTCACAGATAAAAATATCTATTCTTACTTTTTTCTAAGTTTAAAATTCGGTATGTTTGTTCCATAATCGACGCCTAAATCTGGTAAAGTACCAAGAATTCGGGTTATCACAAATAAGCACGTAAGGCGTATTTTCAACGTAACATGAAACTGCACTTTCTAAGTCAAATGTTTACTCGGAGTAAGTGGAGACGTTAACGTTAGTTTTTTAGATAACGAGCAAACTGTCCTATGACAGAGATAAACATGCGCGTGCGCTGCCCGTGCTTTATGGCCCTTTACAGTTTACAAATTAGTTACTTTATCGCATTTTCTAATTTCCTGACCAGTAGACGTACCTTTTTTATGCTATTTTATATATACATTATGCTGCAAAATAAAATTTCCATTATTAAATAAAACTATCTTTTCGGATTATTTCGCGGATTTATTTTGATTTTTGGTTCCCGACGTTTCGAATGCTTTACAGCATCCATGGTCACGGGAGAGACTGAGGTGTTACATGTCTTAAAGATATAGTTGTTACAGACAGCCTACCCACAATTAACAAAAATGAAAATTGCACCAATTACATTACAATATTTTTAACTTTAAACATTTTTATAATTTTAATTATAATTGAATATGGAAAATTATTTATTTAATTTTTGCTATTATTTTTATAATTATTACAATTTTAAAAAATATTAATTAGTAATCTATATTTAGTGTTGCCATTATTATATTTATAACCATAAATAAAAATATAAAAATATAGTATTAATTATTAAAGCCATATAATTGTTCTATGTGTAATTTAAAAAGTTAAAATTAATTATGGATAATCATTTTAATTTAGTTTGCTATTATTTAAAAACAACTTACTAAGCAACACGATTAATATATACTTTTACAAATGAAAATTATTATTCTGATAAGCTGTCATTTTGATCTACACAGTATGAACTTACTACATCTGCCTGTCTGTTATGTTGCAGATTTTGTAAAAGTATATATTAATCGTGTTGCTTAGTAAGTTGTTTTTAAATAATAGCAAACTAAATTAAAATGATTATCCATAATTAATTTTAACTTTTTAAATTACACATAGAACAATTATATGGCTTTAATAATTAATACTATATTTTTATATTTTTATTTATGGTTATAAATATAATAATGGCAACACTAAATATAGATTACTAATTAATATTTTTTAAAATTGTAATAATTATAAAAATAATAGCAAAAATTAAATAAATAATTTTCCATATTCAATTATAATTAAAATTATAAAAATGTTTAAAGTTAAAAATATTGTAATGTAATTGGTGCAATTTTCATTTTTGTTAATTGTGGGTAGGCTGTCTGTAACAACTATATCTTTAAGACATGTAACACCTCAGTCTCTCCCGTGACCATGGATGCTGTAAAGCATTCGAAACGTCGGGAACCAAAAATCAAAATAAATCCGCGAAATAATCCGAAAAGATAGTTTTATTTAATAATGTCAAACATTCGCGTAAATCTAAGAAAGTATTATTAAAATTTCCATTTTAATCTCATTATGAGATTGTTTTGAATGAAGCAAATGTATGTTTGATTTTATTGGTCTTAACATTCTATATTCTCTATAAAGCAAGACCGCTTAGAGTAAGAATGCTAAGAATTTGACTAGATAAGTTTCTATGACCAATATGGTTTCTTGGAATCGACAAGTTATTACTGACAAGATAATGTTGATCGGAAACTGTGAAGGTTTGCCGCTAGAGCAGGTAATATAATAATTTACTTAGACTACCTTTCACTTTCTTATACATAACACGCGTCAAACGAGCCCTTCGAAGTACGAAATCTCCATAGATCTTTTAAGTTTTGTTGACACAATTATCATATTGCCGAAAGGAGTGGAGAGTTAACACGTGCTGAGAAATCACGTAACATTTGTGTATTCAAGCGAAACTAATGTTTGTTGTGTTATGCAATCTTTTTTATCTCATTAAATAATAATATGAATCAATAAGGTCTTTTTAAGTACCCCCAATCTTTCTTAATAGCTACTTATAGATAGTGGTTTTTTTAAATATAAATAAAAAATGTACCTATGTATATTTAATTAGTCGTCTGAAAGCTCTTAATAATTTTTCAAATAATCAGTTTTTTTTCAAATATATCACTGAAAATGAGTTTCATCAAAGCATTCACAAATTTAAAATGAATTCAATACGATAAAGTAATAATAGCTTGCAAAATTTTTAACGGAAATTAACTGTTTGATGGTTATTAACGGTAATTCAATGTTGAGAGCTGTAAGTGTTACAGGTATGCAGAAACCAACAATTAGGGCGTGATTCACCCGGAATGTAAGGCAGCCAGCAAATTCGAATGTGGCCTACGTAGGAATTTAGACCTCAACAGTATTATAAAATCTTTGTAAGGCAAAAAGAAAAAGAATCAAATCCGCTAATATAACTGATATGGAAAGTAAATCTTTAAAATTATGCATATTTATTTAAGTTTCTGCATGACTTAGAGTTTTATAAAAATCGATGATGATATCGCGAAAGGTCGGTACAGTCAAGCGTATATTTTTGACCATTGTTATACGAATGAAGCATAAACGTGCCGATTCATATTCGGTGAAAACAAGCCCCTGCGATACGTAATCGATGGTATCTCTTAAAAATGGCATAGCTTGGAACAAAATGATGCCTTATACAAACCATAGCTATTGAATTTTTGACGACACGTTTGGCTGTTTGTAGTGACCCTACTTGTGCTAGCGGTCGCGGGTTCGAGTCTCG